AAAATATCTTCCATTAAGTACAAAACATTCTAAAAACGTTCCTGGCATTTTCCTTCCGGTATTTTTTCGTAATTTAACATATTTTTTATTGATTTATTACGATTAACACTGTGAGCCGCTTCTGTAAGTTGTAGGAGGGAGGGCTAGAGAAAATAACATCTTTTAATTTTTTTCTTACGTATAAATCTCTTAAAAATAAAACCCAGAGTTTTACACATGATAGGTAGTCTAAGGAGAAATTTACTTTTATATGTGCTTTCTTAAGAATAAAGCTATAATTAAAATATAAGGATATTGAGGAGATGGCATAACATATCTTACGGTGTCCATTAGTGTAAGCTTAGCAGAGTAATTTATTTAAAATATATTTGAAATAGTATTATATGATAAAAAATATATATATTTAAAATATGCCAGCTTTTGACAAACAGCAATGAGACGTTTGTGTCTGATTTGCTTCAGCAAATATATATCCAACGAATTATTTATCATCATGAACTTGACATGTAACTTCCTGTACTTACCTTAACTTTTGCCCGGCATGGCCAGGTGGATAAGGCGCTCGACTCACAATCTGAGGGTCGCGGGTTCGAATCCGCATCCCACCAAACATGCTCGCCCTTTCAGCCGTGGGGGCGTTATAATGTGACGGTCAATCCCACTATTCGTTGGTACAAGAGTAGCCCAAGAGTTGGCGGTAGGCCTTCCCTCTAGTCTTACACTGCTAAATTAGGGACGGCTAGCGCAGATAGCCCTCGTGTAGCTTTGCGCGAAATTCCGAAAACAAACAAACCTTAACTTTCATTTCAAAGAGTGCCAACATATTTATGTATGTCTAACAAGACATGACAGCACTTAGTTACACTTTTATTGAATGTAACTTTAAAAAAATTGACTGCTTGCATTTAATTTAAAATTTTGTACACGACTGATTAGGGTTTAACTATTTAGGATCAGATCTAGAAAAGAAAAAAAAATACACGACCATAAATCCATTTCCTAATATCATTATAAGATTGAAGACGGTTACTTTTATTTAGGAATATTTCTTTTTGGTTTTATGATCTTACAATATTTTTATTACATCATTATACGTGCTTGACAATAATGAGTCAGTTTATTCTTGATAACAAGAACATTACTTTTGCTTTTGTTTAATCATAGATGAGCCACACGTCACATGTCCTATAAGGAAAATATTATTGAAAATATGTTTTATTAAGTTTAAATATTATATTTCTTTATCTGTTATTTGATCAGGAAATTGGTCAAATTAGAATAAACGTTTTCCCGTATTTACTGGAAATTTAATTTTTGTTAACAGAAAAAAAAACTTTTATTCTCTATTTACAATGGCCGATGAATTACAGTTTACTTCCTTATTTTTTAAATTTATTTTGTTCTTCACATCATATGAAATTTTAAATGACCCCCCAGTGGCACAGTGGACTTTAATAAGCATTATGATATGAGTCACAAATACAATTATCATTATTCTTATTAGTGTTTTTATATCTTGCTTTTGTTTTTGGTAATTTATCCAAATGACTGACAACGTAATACGAACACGTTTTTATTCTTTATTTATCAAGACATAAATATCTACATTATAATATCAAAAGTATTGAGGCAACATTTGTTGAGAAGGAATACATCGTGTTTTCAAGATTGTTCCCGATTTTGATAAGGTTCAATTATGAAATAAGCCACTTTGGACTTTGTTATTGTCACCAACCAGTGGTTCACATCTATTGGAAAAGACTATCACTACTCTTTCAAAGTAACTCAGATGGATTAAGAATTCAAAGATGTTTCCTTTAGGCACTGTTCCGACAAGGTATGTATTTTTGCTTGGAGTTTTATAATGATCAACAAAGCATAAATATTTCAGGTAGAATCATTTATTCACAGGCAGTAAACATTGTTTGTATTTTTACAACAATGATGAATTTCAAATCAGCTAAAAACACAACATGATATTCTCCTTAACACAGTCTTCATATGTGGGACAACATAAAGTATATGCAGTACAGCCAAAAATCGATACATTTGGGTTATAGGCTTTTTATTCATTTCTATCAAGACTTCCTAAACCTACGTGGTAATAAGAGTATATGACGGGTGAATTCGGCAAGGCAGAGACAAAAAGCTTTGTACTGTACACAGCAATGCAGTGCCATATCAACACAGATGCAAAGTGTCGCTTCACAGAGGACACATATAATGGCTACGTATTTGATTCGCGGGGAAAAACAAAACATTCGACAAACAAATGATGTCGTGGCTATAAACTACGATTGGATGATTTTGTCACAGCTTTTCCGAGGAAATTACATTCATAAAGAGGGATTCCTAAAGAATATAGAGGGAAATAAGAGACCATTTCTAAGAAAGAAGCCAACATACTTCTCTATGAAAGCAGAAAATTTTTCTTAGTATTAAATCGTCAAGAAATTAATGCCGCTTTTATTTTAGATGAAAAAAAAACCGAAATTATATATCAAAACAAAACATATATTAAATGAAATAGTCTCCATTCTTATCGATGATGCTTTTCCATTTTACAATCAAGTTGTTAATGCCCTGATTAAAGAAATCACTTGGCTTTGAAGCAAAAACATGTCGATGTCCTCTTTAACACCTTCCACATTTGCATACATTTTCCCATTAAGATGGTGATGCAGCAAATGAAAAAGATGGTAATCTGATGGTGCCATATCTGGAGAATATGGTGGGTGGAGGAGAACTTCCCAACTCAACTCCATAATCTTGTGTTGCATCAAACGTGCCACATGTGAACGTGCATTGTTGTGGAGAAGAACACCTTTCTGATTGACGAGTGAAGAGTGTTTCTGATGAAGGACTTGATTTAAATGTTTCACTTGCTGACTATAGATTTCTGTATTAACAGTTAGCTGTAGATTGAGGAGTTCAAAATGAATTACTCCTTTAATGTCCCACCAAATTCAAAGCATCACTTTCTGCAAATGGAGTCCAAGTTCTGGGGCCAGAAGAGATGAAGAAATGTTCACACGTTGGAAATGATGATCATCGGAGATTTCGTGAGGCACCCAAACACCTTCTTTATGGAGTTTTCCCATATTCCTTAGGTGTTTTCATATTGTTTCATGAGAGACATGCAATTTCAGGGCCATTTCACGAGTATGTTGTCTTGGGTTAGACTCAACAAGCGTCTTCAGAGCATCAATATCACTTCCAACATGTCGGCCCCTGCCATCACAGTTTTTAAGGCAAAAGTCACCAGAACGAAATTTGCTGAACCATCATTGACACTTATGAATGTTCAAAACATTTCCATAAACTTCTTTGATATTCTTTGTGGCTGCAGAGCCATTGTTTCCTTTATTGTATTCAAACAGCATTACATGCCGAATATGTGTCTCGTCGTGTGCCATCACAATAAGGGATTAAAGTACACTAAACTTTACACATTATATAGGCTACACTAAAGTGATGTTTAGGCAGTTTGTTTAACTATTATGTGTGATGTATGTTTTTTTGAGGGTGGTTAATGAAAGTGTTCCAAAATGCGGCATTAATTTATTGACGACCTAATATATCTGTGTGTGTACATTTGCTTATTTAATACTTTTGATTTTGATATGAACAGTTTAATTAAAATTGTTAGCAAACAGTTGTTTTTTATATAGGGTTAGAAATTTTTATAAATTAATGCATTTATTTCAATCATTGCCATTCTTTACAGAAAAAAAACTATTTTTGACATAGACTAAATATTTATCTTCATGGAGTTGATCTTGAACTTCTGCAATTTTAACTGGATATTTAAATGAATGCATTTTTGAATTTCAACTTATATTTTCTATAGAACTGAATTATGTATCAATTTTTATTTCTTCAATTTCTTAAAACCTGAAATACTAGTTTTTAATGTCAAAAAAGCCGAGAAAACAAATTGAAGTAGCTTTGGTTTACATCACAAACACTACTACAGTAAATTTTGAAAATGTTTGAATTATAGAAAATAATCAAGGTAGTTAAATTTCTGAAATTGGTTAGATTTTTATTTTATGAGTTTGGGAACTGGGTCACATAAGGTGAAGGTTACTTCATTGGTAATTTTCCATATAAACATTAGTCAGATAAACTTTGTTATAATTTTATTAAAAATAATGTCTACATCCATATGTTTGAATACCTTTCAATATATATTTTAGTTTTCAGGATTTTCTATTTGTATATGGAATGCTTTTGAATACACTGGTGATCATAAAATGTTCATCCTTTAAGCAACCCGACTGGGAATGTATCCCAGTTAATTGTTGCTTGCTTAACATATTTATCAGAGAATTTGATAGGAGGTCTTAAAACACAGCTTCCAGATGAACATTTTATCATAATTTTTTTATTTTACCTTTAGATTACATTAATGGAGACTTAAGTTAACATAAATACATTACGCTTTATATCAGTTCAGTAAAGGACGTTGTTTATTTAAAAAAGTTTCAAACTGATTTATGTTTCTGTACAGAAAAATCTGTTTAATCAACAAGAAAATGGACACACACACACAAAAAAAAACAAAATGATTTTGCTATATTTATTAAGAATACAGTGATACATTTTTTATAATAAACAATCTAAGCAGGATTTGACTATATTAAAATGTCAAAGAATTATTGGCATAAGTCATGCTTGCTTGTGGGTGATGATGTCATAGATTTGCTGTTCTCATGGTTAGAGAACAATGCCACAGTATATCACATTTTCTTTTACTGGTTTTAACCAAATTAATGTGAAATTCTCAAGTGTAATTTCAGTGATAAAACTTTTTGATAATGTTGTGTAAATGTGCTTTAGCTGGGAATGTATATTTTAGAAAACTTAATAATCCCACTAGATTAAAAAAAGGAGAAAATGTTCTTAATGTTTTGTTTGCAATCACACCTGTTCAGATTTAGCCTTTTGCAATAACTTTATTCTAAAAATGCATATGCTGTAGAAAATAATGGAGCATATTGATTTAATAAGACTTATATTTACATATATTTAGGCATACTTGGAACAAGCACATGAATTGGTTGTAAATGAAAACATAATGTTACAAACATTAGGTAAGTTGAGATGAATTGTTTAATTTATTTATTTTTTAATTTTATATTTTTTTCAGTCTTTTTTTTTGTATAGCATGACTGTTTAAAATTAGTATCTTAAGATTAAATGCCTTATATCAAAAAATAATATATGATTTCTACTTGAAAATAAAAAGTTTATTTTGCGAAGTAATTTGTAAGCTTTATTTTTTATTGTCAAAATTATGTTTTTATAGTTCTTGTGTAAAATTCTGTGAGAACTTATTAACAATAAACTTTACATTTATTAACTTAATTATTGTTTATTAATAAACCTAGTTAATATCAAATGTTATATCCCACAAAATCTCAATATCTGGTATACCTTTTTTATGCATCTTGTAAAAATAACTACTGATTTTATTGTGTGACAAGAGGGTTTAAAAGACTAGTTAGCATGTTGAGATGTAACCATTATGAAGACTTTTTTTTCAAAATACTCTGTCCTATATTATATTAGAAATGCAATTAACATAATTTAATTGACAATTTGTGGTAGGATTTGACATCGCAATTGAACATCCACACACTTATGTAGTCAAATGCTGTCAGCTGGTCAGAGGTGAGTTAACTGTAATGCTGTAATATGAACTTATTACATTTGCATTTAAAAAACTGTTTTTTCTTAATTTTATAAAAACTTATTTGGTGAATGAAATTTGTTTGAGCCATTACAGGAGACAAATTTAATGGAGTGCCGGGTCAATCTAGGCCTCCAAGAGACATGATTAGGAATTACAGGTGGTCCTATTCATCATAGCTGGAGAAGTGATCATTAGTGGTGATTTTGCAGTCAAGCTTTGATGCACAACAACATTTATATGATCACCCACCATTGTCTACTTTTGGACATTATAAGATGATTGCAATTCTCAAGCATAATGTACCTGACATTGTTGTTGTTTTTTCATGTTTTAAAGCCTTTTTTGATAATTACCAGACTTGATAAATGTAAAGTAAATTTGAAAGATTACTGTTAATGTTCATAGTCAAGCAAATCAACAAATGTACAGTCAATGTGCAGAGATTTAAATGTTTGTCATAACTAATTCAAGTTATTATAACAGTTATATTGCAGTGAAAGATTCAAAACTGCCATAAACATTATGTGAGAGGGGTACAGTATTCATTCCAGGACAAAATATAATGGGGCCATGTGGCCCTTTCAGGTATAAAACTTGGAGCCGTGTTAATATAAATTGAATAAACTATTTAAAAGATCAGATTAAATGTTTGTCTTGCTTTAATCCCTTTTATCAGATACGTCAAACAATGAAAGTTCATTAGAATAGAAGCTAATGATCATTTCAATTTGTGATAATAGTTCTGTTTAAGTGAAAACACTGTAACTCAACAAATACAATAGTAAACAGTTCCAACTAAGAAAAATTACTGGAATTATCCATGTTAACTTCTTGTGCTTCACATTTATCCTGTAACCCTCATATTACTTGAATGTCTTTTTTTGTTTCCTACTCTGTCCACTCACCTAGAGTGTTTTGAAATTAAAATCTTCCAATGCTGGCTCTTCTACTGAATCAGTCATAATCTCATAAATGCTCACTGGTTCTAAGCAATTTCTCTTGGAGGTTTTAATGATATATTGGACAGAATCTGCAGTTTGCATGGGAGCAGTAACTGCAATGGCAGCTAAATTTAACGGCTTCAATATTCTTTGTGATTTGAATTGATCAATCCCCATAGTACACTGTCTCTTGGGTATCCAGCATTAATAATCTGTTCTCTTACTTATGACCACTGTTTTTGTTTTCCTTGGATCTACTATAGCTTCTGCTGTGCTTGCAATCTCATCATGCTTATGTTCTTTTGCACTTCCAAGGTGGTTTATAAGGGTCTCAATCTTGCTATTACCCAATATGAAAGTTCATTATTTGAGTGGAAATGTAATTGGTCTCATTCCAAATACACCCATTGTATACGTGATCTTAAAAGAGTCATTCTGTGGGAACCTTTCGTTGAGTTTTTCCACAAGTTTCTCTATAAATGTGCTTTTCAGTGCTTTAATGTTTCTTCCACCCCTAGATTCTCTATACATAAGCCTGTACCCTTCTTCAATCAGATGATCTCTCAGTGTGGCAAGAAAAAAATTGATGTTCCTCCTGTTCTTCAGCATCTTTGTACTTGTTCAGTGATCTTATACAGTGATTAGTATTTATCTGGATGGCAGACATCCAAGTTTCTTTTCTGGAAAACCAGTCACAGCTCAGTGGTAATAAGGAGTATGTCTTTCAGCATGTATGTGGTGCCTGTAAAGTCATAATTTCCAAGTTTCTTTGCATAACCCTTTGTTTTAGCATGTTTTTCTTTGTTGAATAATGTGATAAAAGAAACCAGGGATCTAAACACACTGTCTACTGCCTTGTAGATGGAAATCCATCTTACTTCACTTACTTCCTTTATCTTGATTTGTCATCTTCTAGCAGCTGCTGTATCTTTTAACTTCTCACATCTATTTGCTGAGCCTTTAAAGACATAAAACATTCCAGTCAATGTCTCTTGATGCTCCTTAGGATAAGGTATTTCACTAGCTGCCTGTGAGCTGACTAATGCTAATCTGTATGCAATGCAATGATAATTCAAGATCATAGGATTTTTCTTAGAAGGTGTCCAGTCACACCCTCTTTTTACCCCTGTCATCACTATTGTGCTATAACTTCCAAACCCATAGACTTTTGATATTGGTACCTGTCTCTCTTCTAAACCTCCTAAAATAGCCTTTGATACTGTTTCCCCTTTCCAATCTCTAACCTTAACATGTTTCAGTAGCATGATACTTCATTCAGATGTTTAAGGATTCAGCACATGAGCATATACTACAATTTTTTCCATTTCGATGTCACAACTGTCATCAGCTAACACACTTACTGGTGAACACTTCAGTTTTTAGTCATTGTCATGATTTATCACACTAGCAGTTGAAGACAATCCCATTGGCTGTGTTCACTGATGCATAAGTAGCCTTCTCAGACACATTTATTTTGTCCATATCAGGGATGCCAAGTTCATCCAGGAATGGTATCATACTTTCATATTTAATCAGGGGTAAATCTTCTTTCATTACTGAATACAGATTTCATACACTTGACTATGCCATTTTTGTTATCATTTAAAAATCATTTTGCTTATGTTTAAATAGCTTGTTTTAGTGTTATACTTTCCACACAGTTTGTGATCACTTCCCATGGTGTGCCTGGTCAATATGCTGATCTGAAAATTACAGGATCCTTTTATAAACAATTTCATATGGTTATGTTCAATACGCAACTTACAAAACATGCAAATTTTTAGCTGAGTTATAGTTAGCCAATAAGATTTTTCTAACCAGGCATGCTGAAATATTCGCTGGTCATGTTCACTTTCCTGGACCATGAAAGATGAGGTATTTTTGGAATCTTCTAGAGCTGTTACTTCATTCTCATTTCTTATTTCACCTTCTATAGATATTGCTGCAGTTTCCAAGGGGGATAGTTTATTTGATTTTGATTTATTTTGTGAGGAAATGAAGAACATTCTTTTGATTTGCATGATTGCATTCAGTTTTATGCTTCAGGGAAGCCATTGTTATAGGAAACAACTGCTGAAGTATATTCGTCCAATACAAAAATCGATATGATGTCAGGTAGTATTGGATGAGTTTGTGCTCGTAGGTTTATCTCAAGTAGTTTACCGTGTTATTGAAAATGCACCGAACGGTCGGATTTGTAAATATTGTTGAGTTAATTAGTGAGAAATATGTGCCATGGCCACAAGGGCTTGTCCTGAAATGAACACTGATGGTATCATGTTTTTGACTTATGTAGTCTTGCATTTTAATAGGGGGAACTAAATAAATGACTGACTTATAGTGCTTACCTGACATTTACTAATATTAATAAATTTAACTGAATGATCATCTATAAAATTAAAGTACTTACTTTAACCTAATTTTTGATTCACAGTTCCCTTGGTAACTTCATGAATGTCATAAAAAAATTACCCAAAGAATTCTTTCATAAAAATGTAAATGATAGCTCTTTATGTGAAATATGGGCAGTATTAAGGAATTTGTGGAGGAATCTAAAATAAATTGTGTATGTTTGGATTTGGTTCAAAGCAGATGAGTTAAAAATTTATTTACCCTGTCATTTTTTTTCACTTGCATGTTTACTTGTAAGAAAGGCTTGAAGTCAGTGATCATTGTAAATCAAAGTACATGCAGGAAAAAAAAATGTTTCAGTTTATATTTTTTAGAAAAAAGACAGATTACAGTAAAGTCAAATTTAATTTATAAAGTTTTTCTGCTTCATAAATACCCATGAGTGGTATTATTTAGCATTAAATACAAAATTTTCACTCCTTCACCAGCTAATCACTCTGTCTGGTGCTTCACTTAAGTAGTGAAAATTGTCCTTACAAGTCACTGTATATGGAATATGGAGGGATAAGAGATAAAAACCCTGGTGGTTTAACAGAGCACATAGTCCATTTTGTAGTTTTATGCTTAATAACAAACAAACAATTCAAGGACAAACACACTTTGAATAACCATTTGTTGCATACTTGAGTTACGCACATATTGAGCTGAGTGGAGTAAATTTAAATAACATTTCTTCTTAGGTTAATGTATCTATTTACATTATATTGACATTTCCATTTAATTTGTAGACAAAAAGAGGCTATTTATAGTTTTGCAGAATTATAATTTTTTTAATTAACTAGTCATTGAATCTTGGGTCATAAGTAAGTTGTATATAAAGTTCTGTTTTATAATTACCAAACACTTTATTTTCAGAATCTTGCAATAATAGTTGTATCCCTGTGCCACTTAAAAAGGGTAGGTTAAGGTTAATTCTAAGTATGTAAATTTCCTACATTTCAAAACCAAGAAATGTTAAAATATTCATGATGCACTGTTTGCTTAAAGGCTTTTCCAAAATTTAAAGAATGTGCATTTCTGAACTCCATAAACAAAACACTGCTTTACATGTGGTACACTTAATTCTCACATAGTGTAATCTGTTATGTGTACCATCGACTTGGTTGCCTTGTTGTCTGCAGTACAGAGTTTAATTTTGACCCCATACATTAAACATAAATAACATTCAATCACCCCACAAAATTATTATTATTCTATTTCATATGTTACTTTAAAAAACTTAGGAAATAAGTAACTATATATTGATGAATGCCAATAAAGTTATGTGCCTACACTCACTGTCCGAGCTAGTATATTTATTAAAGAGGGATATAGTAATTGTATTTGTAAAAAATAGTTTAAATAAATTAATGAAGTATATAAATAGTTTTAAGGCAAATCAATTTACTAAATGTACATTGATTATTTTGTAGTTTGTCATTCAAAAACTTCAGGCTATTTTTATCCTGTGACTGCAATTATTATTATTTTTAGTATAATGTTCTGTTCCTAAATAACTAATGTATTCTTAGACCTCTGGTGGTTTCAAAGATATTAACTTACTGATTTCTTCCCTTTCCCTTATGCCATGTTTCTGGCTTTATCTGGGTGGACTTCAATTTACCACTTGAACAGCAAGCAAGGATCTTGCCCAGACATCCTACTTCATGGCTACCAACAGGTTTTTATCTCCTTCATTTTAGGATCATGATGTTGGAACATTTTATTTTCATTCTACTGTGATCATCACAGTTGAATATATGTATAGCATGAATATTTCACTAAATTTTGAGTAGAAAAATTAACTGAATCAATTTTTGGGTATCCAAAAACTAACAGGTAAGTTTATAGCTTTACAACATGTCTTGATTTATATTATCATAAAAGCTTGTGTTCTTAAAACATTTTGTGAAGCATAAAAAAAGAAACATTTGACCTATAAATGCAAAACAGTTGAAGTTGACTAGGCTAGTATATAAAGAATTATTTTACCTGAACTTATGTAAAATCATAATAATTTCATTTATGTGTTGATAGTTATAAATACTCTGCATCCAAAAAAAAATAATGAAGCTTGTAAATGTTTTAGAATGGTACTTAGATTACTTTTGCACACACAAAGTAGTATGTTGAACTGATTTTGAACTGTTATAAAATTGTCAGTTATGAGAAAGGATCATTTAATATAGTTTTAAAAACAGTATAATTGACTTAAAGTAACTTTATAGTTTTATTTTTATTTCTTTCAGTTTGCACCTGACAACAATGTGTCTCCAGTACAGACCAACCTTTGTTGCCTGTGTTTGTATTCACCTAGCATGTAAATGGTCAAGCTGGGAGGTAATGTTTCGAGTCATTTGATTAGAAACTTTAAAATATTTATATATTTAGTTAAGTATTTTTATCCTTTTGAATTCAGGAGCATAGGAAAAATAACAGAATGGCATTTAGTTCATAAACTGAAACCTGCTAAGTGAAGTAACTAATTGTAATTTGATATAAAGACTTATTATAGCATTGTGTGTCCAGTATAGATTTAACTTATTGCTGTCACTGTTTTTAAAGTTACTACTTTTTAGTAGTTGTTTTCACTCTGACTTGACAGGTGTTTATGTTTCTGTATTAATAAATAACTTAGTGATTTGTGTTTTATATCTAAAAGCTACAAGTATATCAAGTCAGCTTGATCATGAATAATAACAAAAGTTAATAAAATATCTTGCAGATTTACAAAGAAAATGGCTTCAGCAGGGTGTGTGTGCTGTGACCTAAATGTTTTTTTAAGTAAATTGAATCATGTAAATAGATTTAAATTTAAAATGTAACACTAGCTAGCTTTATTCAAATTCTTACTTTAGCTATGTAACAACAGCCTAAGAAATTCACTTAAGGTTTCATTTAATGTTACTGTATGAATTGCTCACAAACAAACAATTGAAAACATGTAGGAACAAACTAATCAGCTTGGATAAAGATTTATTTGATGCTGTTAGTTAAGCTGTTTGGTATCACACTAGTGTAATAGTGATGTAACATCAAATATGTTTATAGTAACAACCAGTGAAATTTTATGTAACATTATAATTTAAGTGGTATGGTAACATACATGCATTGTAATGTACAGCTTTATTGAACACAGTTGGTACCATAAAATACCAATTCTGATACTGTCTAACCTCAACTCACACAAATCTATCTTAATCTTCATTCTGCCCCCTAAGTATTGCTAAAGAATTTTAACTCTCATTGCTCTAGTCTATATAGCCCACAAATTTCATGCCACTTTTGAATATGTATATAGCATGTGACCACCCTCCACCAATAGTATTGCACCACTTATATTAGCGCAGCTAGCTCCCTCTGCTTTTCATGCTCAATCCTCACTTTCTCGATTGTCACAGCATCATTTTTCCTGCATAACTACCGTTTACAATTTTATTTTGTTGACATTTCAATACCTTTTTCAACAGTTTTCTTTTACTGTGTTTGCATTCAGTTGTTTCAATATATATATATATTTTTTTTTGCATTTGTTTATTGTTACCGAATTATACGGTAACTTAGAATGACTTTGCAATTCAATGTATCAACAATAGAAGTTCCCAATTATAGTATTTTGGCACTTGTGTATAAAGTTAAAATCATATATAATATTC